ATTGAAAATCTATGGATAGACCTTAAAAGAGCAGTGCGTGACAGACAGCCCAGAAATCTCAAAGAACTGGAAGACTTTTGTAAGGAAGAATGGGCAAAGATACCTCAAACAAGAATTGAAAGAGTCTTGGCTGGCTACAAAAAGCGTTTACAAGCTGTGATACTTGCCAAAGGGGGCAGTACAAGATATTAACTCTGCAGGGTGCCCAAACTTTTGCAGACGCCATTTTTTTGTTTTCTGTTATTTTGAAAGTGTAAATGATGGAAATAAAATCTAACTTTTGTTGACATATTATAAGAATGTCTAATCTGTAATTTGATGCCTTTTGGAGATTTTTCCATCTTTCCTTGGCTTCTTTATGCACATTAATACAAATTTTTAGCTGGGGTGCCCAAACTTTCGATCCCCACTGTATATATATATAAAAAAAAATATGCACCGCTTGTTTCTTAGGTCTGTTTCCACAAAGGTCACAATCCTTCAGTTTTTAACACTGTACTGAAGCTCTTAATGCAATTATCCCACGTACGCTGCCAACAATATGTCACAGATGCACGATCGCCACCCTCAACATGCGACAATCGCACGACCGCGACCAACAATACATCACGCCTGCGGCGTCAGACCCCAGACCTTCTCACCAAACTCATGACCGAAGGACCGGACGATCTAAAACTGCGATGTGACGTGCGTAACAAGGCCACACCCAGCTGCACCCTACACAGCAATTTTCCAGCTAATGGACTACAATCGGTGCCTGCAGTCTGAATGCGCTTGTTACTGGGTCGGGTTAATTACGTAACTAACCCTTTCACACTGCCACCACCTTCTTTTGTACAGAGAAAAAGGAAACTCTCTTTATCCAATATACACTGTAATGGTTAAAAAGTCGCCTGCCCAATACGGTCACTGCAGGCTGATTGGGCAGAGGATTAAACAAACACAGTAGCATCTCTTCAAAAGGCAGGAATTCGTAAATTGCAATTAAGCGCTTTTGAAACAGTTTAACCCTTTCAGAAAGAAAGATTTATTACTAAAAGAGTCAAACAGGTGCAATAAAATATTTACAGAAAAAGATGTAACTAAGATATATATTTATATATATATACATAGAAAACAGCACAGCACAGCAAAGAGATAACAGGGAGAAGTTAAAAGGTTAAGTTACTTGCCATGTTCAGCCTTAAGGTAAGCAGATCCAAGTTGCATAGCGAAGGGTCTTTGATCCCCTGCTGTTACGATGTTAAAATTGGGAGATGTGTTTAGCTTAACCTTTTAGGCTTGCCAGCCTGTCTTTTAAAGTCCCCCTGCGGGGGGAGGGGTGGCTTTGAGTACTGGCCAATACCCTGTTTTGGGCGGGATCGTTGGATAGACTCTGCATTAAAACTCACAGCTTCATAATCCATGATATGAAACATAGGTGACAGCTGACCTGAGAAATTTAACTTCTGTCACCTGGCTGGTAGGGTTTATGAGGTTCCAACTTCTTTCAGGTCCTGGAAAAAAAAAACTATCTTATCTTGGTTAGGAGGTGTGATTTTACACAGGCCTTGGGACAGAGAGTCTGCTGTCTCTATGGGGGGGCGTTGTAGCGCTGGGCCCCCTGCTGCTCCAGCCTGCCAGCAACTTTTAACACTTACACATTTGTCCCTGTGCCTCTCAGGAAGGGAGGGGGTAGGGAATAAAGGATTGAGGAATACTTCTAATAAAAAGGGGAACTCCACGTCCATCTCTGATGAGCAAGTTTGCTACAACCCCCAATTCATGGATGACTTTCATCCCTATGTCAAAGTAGTGCATCTGCCACCGAATACTATGGTGCTCATCCAACCTATGGACCAAGGAGTTATTGCGACTTTCAAGAAATACTATTTTTGTCAGGCAGTGAAGGCTATTGATGAAACAGGAATAACCTTGCGACAATTTTGGAAGGACTATAACATCTACAAGGCCATAAAAAACATCAACTTTGCTTGGCGTGAGGTTTCGGCTGTCACCATGAAGGGGGTTTAGAAGAACCTTTGCCAGCAGTTTGTTCATGAAGTTCATGGACTTGAGAAGATGGGTAAAGAGTCCAAAGAGGTCTTCAACAACTTCATGACCCTTAGCACGAAGCTGGAGCTAGATCTGCAAGAGGACAACTGCACTGAACGTGCTGTGCAACAAATGGAGCTTGCTAATAAGGACCTGATTGAATTAGATGCCCAGTGAAAAGACAAAGAGAGCCAAGAGGAAGATGTAACCGAAGAACCAAAGAGATTCACAACACAGGAAATGGCAAGGGGATTTTCTTTACTTGATGAGGCACTGTTAGTTTTTGAGGCACAGGACCCCAACGTAGAATGATACACAAAGGTTACAGCAGCCGTTCAGAATGCCATCCAGTGCTACAGAGTCATCTATGATGAGAAAAAAGAGCTGCTACTCAGACATCACTGGATCATTTTTTCCAGAGGGTAGACAGAATTGAATCCATCAAAAATCCTGTGTCATCAACATCAGGTGTGAGTGAAATTCCATGTTGCTCTCAATCTTCTATTGTTGATGATCCTTCACCTCCACCATCAGGTATGTGCCAAATTCCATCTTGCCCTCCATCTTCTATTGTTGATGATCATTTAGCTCTGTCAACATCAGTTATGGGCCAAATTCCATCTTGCCCTCCATCTCTTGTAGCTGATGATCCTTCAGCTCTGTCAACATCAGTTATGGGCCAAATTCCATCTTGCCCTCCATCTCTTGTAGCTGATGATCCTTCAGCTCCGTCAACATCGGGTGTGGGCCAAATTCCATGTTGCCCTCCATCTCCTATTGCTGATGATCCTTCAGCTCCACCATCTCCCACCTACCCTCCCTCCTCCAGTTAGTAACTCTCTTTCCACTATATGCCAGTTGTAGTACTGTACTGTACCACCATTTTTAGGTAACTGTAAAACCAAAAATAGTTTATTTACAGTTGTACTGTACCATCATTTTAACCGCTAACCTACAGTGCACTTATACCCCCTTCCTGCCCAGGCCAATTTCCAGCTTTCAGCACTGTCGCACTTTGAATGACAATTGCGTGGTCATACAACACTGTACCCATATGAAATTATTATCATTGTTTTGTGACAGATAGAGCTTTCTTTTGGTGGTATTTAATTACCTCTGGGTTTTTTATTTTTTCTTAAACAAACCAAAAAACACTGAAAATTTTGAAAAAAAAAGTTTTTTCTTAGTTTTTGTTATAAAATGTTGTAAATAAGTGATTTTTCTCCTTCACTGATATGCGCTAATGAGGCTGCAGTGGTGGGCACTGATAGGCTGCACTGATGGATACTGATAGGTGGCACTGATGAGGAGGCACTGGTAGGTGGCACTGATGGGCATTGACACAGGCATCACTGATGGGCACTGAAAGGCAGCACTGATACATGGCACTGATACAGTGGGGCAAAAAAGTAGTCAGCCACCAATTGTGCAAGTTCTCCCACTTAAAAAGATGAGAGAGGCCTGTAATTGGCATCATAGGAGAAAAAATGAGAAAATAAATCCAAACAATCACATTGGCTGATTTGGAAAGAATTTATTTGCAAATTATGGTGGAAAATAAGTATTTGGTCACCTACAAACAAGCAAGATTTCTGGCTCTCACAGACCTGTACCTTCTTTAAGAAGGCTCCTCTGTCTTGCACTCATTACCTGTATCAATGGCACCTGTTTGAACTTGTTATCAGTATAAAAGACACCTGGCCACAACCTCAAACAGTCACTCTCCAAACTCCACTATGGTGAAGACAAAAAAGCTGTCGAAGGACACCAGAATCAAAATTGTAGACCTGCACCAGGCTGGGAAGACTGAATCTGCAATAGGCAAGCAGCTTGGTGTGAACAAATCAACTGTGGGAGCAATAATTATAAAATGGAAGACATACAAGACCACTGATAATCTCCCTCGATCTGGGGCTTCACGGAAGATCTCACCCCGTGGGGTCAAAATGATCACAAGAACGGTGAGCAAAAATCCCAGGACCACACGGGGGGACCTAGTGAATGACCTGCAGAGAGCTGGGACCAACGTAACAAAGGCTACCATCAGTAACACACTACGCCGCCAGGGACTCAGATCCTGCAGTGCCAGACGTGTCCCCCTGCTTAAGCCAGTACATGTCCGGGCCTGCCTGAAGTTTTCTAGAGAGCATTTGGATGATCCAGAAGAGGATTGGGAGAATGTCATGTGGTCAGATGAAACCAAAATAGAACTGTTTGGTAGAAGCACAACTCGTCGTGTTTGGAGGAGAGAGAATGCTGAGTTGCATTCAAAGAACACCATACCTACTGTGAAGCATGGGGGTAGCAACATCATGCTTTGGGGCTGTTTCTCCGCAAAGGGACCAGGACGATTGATCCATGTACAGGACAGAATGAATGGGGCCATGTATCGTGAGATTTTGAGTGCAAACCTCCTTCCATCAGCAAGGGCATTGAAGATGAAACGTGGCTGGGTCTTCCAACATGACAATGATCCCAAACATACCCCGCCCGGGCAACGAAGGAGTGGCTTCGTAAGAAGCATTTCAAGGTCCTGGAGTGGCCTAGCCAGTCTCCAGATCTCAACCTCATAGAAAGCCTTTGGAGGGAGTTGAAAGTCCGTGTTACCCAGCGACAGCCCCAAAACATCACTGTTCTAGAGGAGATCTGCATGGAGAATGGGCCAACATACCAGCAACAGTGTGTGCCAACCTTGTGAAGACTTACAGGAAACGTTTGACCTCTGTCATTGCCAACAAAGGATATATAACAAAGTATTGAGATGAACTTTTGATATTGACCAAATACTTATTTTCCACCATAATTTGCAAATAAATTCTTTCCAAATCAGCCAATGTGATTGTCTGGATTTTTTTCTCATTTTGTCTCTCATAGTTGAGGTCTACCTATGATGCCAGTTACAGGCCTCTCTCATCTTTTTAAGTGGGAGAACTTGCACAATTGGCTGACTAAATACTTTTTTGCCCCACTGCATATGGCACTGATAGGCAGCACTGACTGGCACTGTTATGCGGCACTAACACGGCACTGATAGGCGGCACTGACTGGCACTAATAGGCACTGACTGGCACTGATAGGTGGCACTGATTGGCAGCACTAATAGGTGGCACTAATTGGCATTGATAGGTGGCACTGACTGGCACTGATGGGTGACACTGAAAGGCAGCTCAGATGGGCACTGATATGTGGCATTGATGTGCACTGGTAGGCACTGATATGTGGCATTGATGTGGCACTGACACAAGGCACTGATGGACACTGACAGGTGGCACTGCTGGGGCTACACTGATCATCAGGGCACACTGATCATCAGTGCCCTGATGACCAGTGTACATGTCCCCTCCGCGGAAAGCCGATTACCGGCTCTCCACTCCTCATGAGCTGTCAGCGTGACAGCTCAATAGGAGAGAAATGCCGATAACCGGCATTTCCCTGTTTACATGTGGTCAGCTGTGATTGGACACAGCTGATCACATGACCGAGCCGACATCTTCGGCTCTTTCCGTGATCGGTGATCCACTGTGTCTGAGGGCCTGAGCCGTGCATGCTCGGTGAGAATGGGAGGACATCATATGACGTCCTTCCAGAACAAGAGAACCACCTTGCGCCCGTCATTGGACTATATGGCGGGCGGGAGGTAGTTAAGGTACAGTAACTATAAAAGTTAAAATAGTTTATTTACAGTTGTACTATACCACCATTTTAAGGTACAGTAATTGTAAAAGTAAAAATTATTTGTTTACAGTTGTACTGTACTGTACCACCATTTTAAGGAAACTGTAAAAGTAAAAATAGTTTATTTACAGTATTTTTGTGTTTGTTTAAAAAATCTGTATTTGAAAAACTGCTGCTGAAATACCCTGTGACATAAAAAATTTAAATACTAGCCAATGTATCCTCTGTGGCCTATGTTTAAAAAAAAAAAAAATTTTTTGGAAGTTCTAAGAATTTTCTAGCAAAAAATAAAAAAACATACAAGTTTGTCACCATAAAGCCCCTTTCTTTTTTAAAGCCCCAGAACATCAACCCTTCATATTTTTTTTATCAGGACAAGTATTGTCGTTAGGGAAAAGTAGATTGGGACCCATTTTAGTTCCGTGGACAAGTAGGTTAAAAATATCCACACCCCTGGGGAATTAGTAACATTGCGAATTGCTAAAGCTGAGTACACACACTCAGTTTTTTATTTTATTCAACCCAAAAACCTGACCAATCATCTTACCAACACAAGCAATGTTGGTTTGACTCTCCTGCTGTGCTATTGTATTCTGACAGATACATCAGAACACACTGATCAGCGCTCACAGCCGTTAGCTGGTTTTCCAACATGCCCGTTCAACAGTCGTGAGACAGATAGCTTTACATAAGGGCAAAAGTCGGCCGGTTCAAGGTGTACAAGGCTTTACAGAATCTCTTCTTTGGGTTTGTTGCAAGGCTCTTGTCAACATCACTTTAGGGATCAGCTCCACTAGAGTGTAGCTTGCAGTAGAATAACATCCATACAGATTGTCTCCAATTTACAAGCCATCCTCAATGCTCTGTTTAATTGGGTAAGCTTCTCTCTAGAGAAGAGGAGATTACGTGGGGATATGATCAACATATACTCTGCTCAAAAAAAATTAAAGGAACACTTTTTAATCAGAGTATAGCATCAAGTAAATTAAACTTCTGGGATATTGAACCAGTCAGTTAAGTAGCAGAGGGGGTTGTTAATCAGTTTCAGCTGCTTTGGTGTTAATAAAATTAACAACAGGTGCACTAGATGGACAACAATGAGATGACGCCCAAAACAGGAATGATTTTACAGGTGGAGACCATTGACACATTTTTCCCTACTCAGCTTTACTGACTGTTTTCACTAGTTTTTCATTTGGCTAGGGTCAGTGTCACTACTGGTAGCATGAGGCGATACCTGAACCCTACAGAGGTTGCACAGGCAGTCCAACTTCTCCAGGATGGCACATCAATACATGCCATTGTCAGAAGGTTTGCTGTGTCTTCCAGCACAGTCTCAAGAGCATGGAGGAGCACTACCAGAGCCCTACAAAACGACCTCCAGCAGGCCACTGGTGTGAATGTCGCTGACCAAACAATCAGAAACAAACTTCATGATGGTGGCCTGAGGGCATGATGTCCTCTAGTGGGCCCTGTGCTCACTGCCCAGCATCATAGAGCTCAATTGGCATTTGTCATTGAACACCAGAATTGGCAAGTTTGCGCTGGCGCCCTGTGATTTTCACAGATGAGAGCAGGTTCACCCTGACAGGCGTGAAAGGGTCTGGAGAAGCCGTGGAGAACGTTATGCTGCCTGTAACATCATTCAGCATGATCGTTTTGGTGGTGGGTCGGTGATGGTATGGGGAGGCATATCCATGGAGGGATGCACAGACCTCTACAGGCTGGACAATGGCACCTTGACTGCCGTTAGGTATCGGGATGAAAACCTTGGACCCATTGTCAGACCCTACGCTTGTGCAGTGGGTCCTGTGCTCCTCTTGGTGCATGACAATGCCCGGCCTCATGTGGTGAGAGTATGCAGGCAGTTCCTGGAGGATGAAGGAATTGATACCATTGAATTGCCCCCACGCTCTCCTGATGTAAAACTAATAAAACACCTTTGGTATATCATGTTTCGGTCCATCCAACACTGCCAGATTGCACCTCCTGTCCAGGAGCTCAGTGATGCCCTGGTCTAGATCTGGGAGGAAATACCCCAGGACACCATCCACTGTCTCATTAGCAGCCTGCCCTGACGTTGTCAGGCATGCATACAAGCATGTGGGGGCCATACAAATTACTGAGTACCATTTTGAGTTGCTGCAATGAAATTTCAGCAAAATGAACTAGCCTGCTGCATCATATTTGCACTTTGATTTTCAGGGTGTCTTTGAATTCAGTCCTCTGTAGGTTGATAATTTTTATTTCCATCAAACAATGGGGCATCCTTACGTTCCTAACACATTACCTAGTCCAGGGGTTAAAATTTTGAGTCCAGACCTACGAGCCGGTCACAAAACTTACTCTCCACCAGTTGCCCCACCAACCTTGCCCAGGTCCACCCCTAACCCCACCCCCGGCCCGCCCCAACCACGCCCCCTTAAAGCTTATGAAATTAAATTTTTCTTTAGAATAGTCCAAAATATAAAAACTGTACACAGTAATGTATATCCCAGCTCCCCTGTACTCCATTATAGTGATATGACGTGTACAGTAATCATTACTGTATACATGTCATCACTATAATGGAGTACAGGGGAGCTGGAATATACGTTACTGTATACATGTCATATCACTATAATAGAGTACAGGGGAGCTGGGATATACATTACTGAGTAATGTATATCCCAGTTCCCCTGTACTCCATTATACTGATATGACATGTTGTATACAGTACTTACTCCTAGTCCATCTGAGTCCCCCGCGGCGGTGGAGAGGGTGTCTCTTCTCAGCGGAGCCGAAGAAGCCGGAAACCGGAAGTTGTAAACCGGAACTCGGCTTCACAATGAGGCTTGGAGCGCAGGTGCAGTCGCTCCATGCTTCATCTGTGCTCGCCGCTCGCCACAGAGGAATTTCTCCTCGCATTTGGTATTCACAGTGCTTAACTTTTGCCACATTTTGTTATCTAACAGCCTTATTCCAAAATGGATTAAATTCATTTTTTTCCTCAACATTCTACAAACAATACCCCATAATGACGTGAAAGACGTTAATTTTGAAATCTTTGCAATTTATTAAAAATAAAAAAACGAAAAAAAAAAAAAAAAAAACACATGTACATAAGTATTCACAGCCTTTGCTCAGTACTTTGTTGAATCACCTTTAGCACCAATTACAGCCTTAAGTTGTTTGAAGTATGATGCTACAAGCTTGGTACACCTATTTTTTGGGCAATTTCTCCCATTCTTCTTTGCAGTACCTCTCAAGCTCCATCAGGTTGGATGGGGAGCGTCGGTGCACAGCCATTTTCAGATCTCTCCAGAGATGTTCAATCGGGTTCAAGTCTGGGCTCTCGCTGGGCCACTCCCAGGACATTCACAGAGTTGGCCTGTAGCTACTCCTTTGTTATGTGGGCTGTGTGCTTAGGGTCATTGTCCTGTCACCCCAGTCTAAGGTCCAGAGCATTCTGAAACAGGTTTTCATCAAGGATGTCTCTGTACATTGCTGCATTCATTTTTTCTTCGATCCTGACTAGTCCTCAAGTTCTTGCGGCTGAAAAACTTCCCTGCAGCATGATGCTGCCACCACCATGTTTCACTGTAGGGATGGTATTGGCCAGGTGGTGAGCTGTGCCTGGTTTCCTCTAGACATGACATTTGGCATTCAGGCCAAAGAGTTCAATCTTTGTTTCATCAGACCAAAGAGTTTTGTTTCTCATGGTCTGAGAGTCCCTCAGGTGCCTTTTGGCAAACTCCAGGTGGACTGCCATTTGCCTTTTACTGAGGAGTGGCTTCCATCTGGCCACTCTACTAGGAAGATTCCTGGTGGTTCCAAACTTATTCCATTTATGGATGATGGAGGCCACTGTGTTCATTGGGACCTTCAATGCTGCAGACATTTTTCTGTACCCTTCCCAAGATCTGTGCCTTGATACAATCCTGTCTCCGAGGTCTTCAGACAATCCCTTGGACTTCATGGCTTGGTTTGTACTCTGACATGCAGTGTTAACTGTGGGACCTTCTATACAAGTAGACAGGTTTTTTGCCTTTCCTAATCATGTCCAATCAACTGAATTTCCCACAGGTAGACTCCAATCAAGTTGTGGAAACATCTCAAGGATGATCAGTGGGAACAGGATGCGCCAGAACTCAATTTTGAGTGTCATGGCAAAGGCTGAGTTTTTTTTCGTTTTTTATTTTTAACAAATTGCAAAGATTTCAAAACGTACTTCTTTCACGTTGTCATTATGGGATATTGTTTGTAGAATGTTGAGGAAAAAAATTAATTTAATCCATTCTGGAAAAAGACTGTAACATAACAGAATGTGGCAAAAGTTAAGTGCTGTGAATACTTTCTGGATGCACTGTAGATACCCAGCATTATATTTTTCCCCATTGAGATCTGATGTGTTTTCAAAGTGTTCCTTTAATTTTTTTGAGCAGTGGTGGTGGTCCATATAATGAACTCGGTGTAGAGTTATTCATTTTAAGATCATCACAGAGGACAAGGGGGAACGCTTTATGTCTGGAGGAAAAGAGATTTAATCTGCAAATACGGAAATATTTTTTCACAATAGGAGCTGTGAAAATGTGGAATAGACTCCCCAAGAGTTGGTTCTGGCCAGCTCAGTAGACTGCTTTAAAAAAGGCCTGGATTATTTCCTAAATGCACATAATATAACTGGATACTAACTAACTAATAGGTAAAATTGATCCACAGACATGCAACATCTTTGGCTGCAGTATCTTCTCACCATTGTCCGGCCTCCCCTCTCCTTCTGCTGGGGTTTTTTTTGCTTTTATACTAGGTGTTGGTACACCTGTTGTAGCGTGGGGTCTGCATCCGCTTCACTGGTTCTGAGATAAAGTGAGTAA